TAGAAAACACAAATGAGAAGCTGCAGTAGCTCACTGCATTCTGCACTGTTCTAAACACACCAAAAAAACTCCAAACAAAACAAAAACCCACAACACAACACACACCTAGAACATTTAACACGAAAAGCTGATGGTCAGTAACTCAAACTCAGAGATTTGAACTTAAACAAGTGCTGTTTTGCAACACAACATTGATAATATTTTAAATCCAGAAAAAAAACACCTATACAATTTCATTTCAAGAACATCAACAAAACCATAGCTGTATCAATACAGAAAACAATTTAATTTGTTTTGAAATAAATATTTGACATACAAAGCACATACAGTGAAAAAGGGTCACAATAAATTACAAATGGAGATACTTGCTCGTTCACTGAGAAAAGCCCTTGATATTTCCAATTTCATACCATCAAATTTATCATTCTTGCTGATTTAAGCACAGCACTAAACAAATATGGATCCCAGTGCTTTCTTTCACAGGTACTGGCATGGATAATTTACTGCAGTGATCCAATTTGAAAATCAGTAGGGACCAGTAAATCGCTGCATAAAAGAAAGAGCGAATGAGGTGCTTTTTCCTTAGTGTCAGCAGCCTGTGATTATTATGTTTATTAGATTTTCTTGAAAGGGCTTCACATTTTCTCAAATATGCAGGAGAACTATATTTCCCCTCTGAGCCCTTACATTAGCACTTTGTGCCTCAGTCCTTGAATACAAGTAAAAGATGAATTTTTCAATTCATTTTAGAAGTTTGTACCATCTGGATGGCACAAAACTAAGCAATGAAACCCCCTTACCTGCACAATATCCGCTATTATCACACAGCTAGCTTCTGCAGAAACGTTAATAAGTAATGCTGACATCTTATGATAAAGATATTTTTGAATCCACATTTAAGATTAAAATCCATTACAATATCCATACTGATAATGCATCTTTGAAATAAAGGACTGCTTAAGGTTCTATCCTTAAAAGGCAATTTAAAACAGCAAGGCCTGACTCTTCCTGTGATTTTAAGAAAATTATAGCACAATAAAAGTTACAGGACAAAGATACACTAATCAATTTCATTGTATATAGTTTAACCACAAATACTTGCACTGCAGCAATTAAAAGTTGTAATTACAACAGATCAGCATATCCTGCTAACATCTAGCACATAAGTGCTTCTGATCTTATTCTGTTGCGTTATTTTTCCTCACCAGAAAGACAATGATACGGGGGACCATACCTCCCTCTTGTACACAGGAATCAGTTACCCTTAATCTGAGCACTGTAAGGTACAGTACTTTTTGAAACTGTTTAAGCAGCAGTTAGTATCATTTTGGAAATGGGATCAGGTCATGTAGGGCATAGAAACAAATCGCAGTTCCCCCGACACTTGTCCAACTCTCTTTTCTATTTCCTGCTCTGCCAGAGCTCTTCCATTGCCTCAGGCGAGTGGTGTTTCCTTCCGTGCCTCAGTTCCTGTCTCTAAAATGGGCAAGAACTGTACTTTCTTAATTAAGAAGGGATCTGTACAGCAAATGTTGCAATACCAGTGCCTAACAATAAAAAGGTCCAACACAGACTGTACAAAATGAGCTACATTATTTGTTTGGACAGTACTATCACATATATAGTTAGCAGCTCAAAACCTGTTGGAAAAAATAGTGGCTCATGATTATAATATACTAAAAAAAAAATCCTTAAAATGTGTAACTTAAAATATTAACAGACATTGTTCCCCTTGAACATCCATCAAAGAAGGGAGCAAAACATAAAACTGACAGCACAAAAATGACAGCAGAAGTATAAAATTAAATAAAAGACAATAAAGGAAAGGATGGATGCATTAGTGAATTACTTTGCGTGCAAGAAATCCCAGCTGGCATTAGCTGCTCCAACAGACCCAGTGGGCCCTGATGCTTTATTTATCTACAGGTGAGAACAGACAAGTCTTATGCTGGAGTGTCACTTCTACAGCAAGCTTGTGCACAGCAAGGGGTAGGCCTACCCACAGAATTTACACAACAGCACTTTTAACTTATGAAAGCTAAGATGATAAAAAGAGTGTCCAGTGAGATTTACACCAGTGGAAACAATTACCACATTAGGTAGGCAGCCTTTCAGTAAAACAAGAAATTCTCTGCTTCACATTTGGGGCTGGCAGGCATTTTGCAGTCAGTTGCAAAGTTTCTCTACTACCACAGACTTCTGTTCCAGCCTCTGCATCGTGGCTAGCCATTGACAGAATGGCAGCATGAAAAATCTCAAGCTATCAGGACACAACCAGCATCTCAGGTTTTTAACTTAAATTGTTAGTATAGAAACAGTCACAAACTGCAGTAAGGAATCAGGCACAAGGAGAGAATGTTTTTGCCAGCATTGAGGAAACTTGGTATTATCACGTAGGCAGCTACAGTAAAAAAAAAAACAAAAGAAAAAAAACCCAACCAAACCTAAGTTGATGCAGAGTGCAGGTCAGATGCCCTACCTATTTTGCTTGGAATTTATTCTTACCTCATTGTTCCATGTTTTCTTGGCACAGAGAGGTGAGTTTTACCAGGCCACAAGTAAAATCCAGGCCTCATTTGTCAAGCAACTCCTTGCAAAGCCAAGAATATACTACTAGCCAAATCAAATCCCATTTATGAAAAATCCTCCTCCTCTTGATCCGTTTTTAAGACTTAAGAGAAAAAGTTAACAAGAAATTCTGCATCCATATATAAGTTCTGCTTCACTGCATTGTCTTTCAACTCTCTACTTCTTGAAATCTCATTCACTTATTCCTTTAAGTCTCTCATCCATTCATAGAGTTGGATCTCAAGACTTACCATCCCTTCAGTTACAGATCCAAGACTCTTCTGTAATTTAATAGCAGCATACAATTAAAGGAACAGTCAACTGCACCCATAAAAGCAGTCTTAGACCACAAAAATTTGCTCAGAAGTAACACATTGTTTCACTTACACTAATTACAAAAGTATTTATTTGCCTTCCAGTCCCAGTATGGAGGAACAACTTAGATGACCAAATTAATTTTTAAATCACAGTGGTGCAAAGAGCTGAACAGTCTGATGTCACCACTCAACAAATATACCACGTAATACGAAACAGGGTCTAGAACAATGCTGAAGAACTGAAATGGCAAGAAGCAGGTGTAGATTTCTGCTCTGATTAGATACCATTGTTGCAGTGCTTATTCTTGGGTTAAATTTTGAAAGAAAGGGTTATAATTTTTTTGCACTTTACTAGGCAAAACTTCCCTGGAAAATAATTTAGAAACGCACAAGACATTACGTGCCAATTCAGAAGCAGCAGTGGCAATATAAGAACATGCATACATACACACAGGACAGCATTCTGCTCAACTTCCAGGTTCAAGCATCAGTATGTTCTGTTAGAGAGAAAATAAGCTTAAAGAGCCTAGCAAATTATATTTAACACTCCTTTTATTGCAGTAGAAATTTTAGTTTTTATAAAACCCTCAAATTACAGGATATACATATAGTGAATCTTGTTCAAGTCTTTAGCAGCTGTAGAGCATTACTGCATGCAGTTGCTTCTGCAGTGTGCAAGTGTTCTATAAATAGCTAATCGTGTTCAGAGAGCAAGACAAGTAGTCAAAGAATATCATATTCAATTAGCAACTGGTTCATCAGTACCAAGAGGTTGAGCAAAAAATGAAGTAAGTGTATAAATACATGGCTCTGATCTAACAAACTAATACAACCGGAAAGTTTGAATGATATCCACACCACAAATAAGATAACTCAATAGTTACAGGAAAATACTTTGCTTCAAGACTGTTTTTGGAAGTGTTTCACATTAAATTTCTCTGACCAAGGAAGAATAGTTAAGTACAGTGCTACAGAAGTTTACAAAAGGCCAATGAAACCCTTTTAATTGTATGCAGTTAGAATTTATGCAGTACATTAACTACACAAGATTAGGCAAATACTTTCCCTTGAATTTTGGAAAGAAGTTGTGTTCAGACATAATATTCTTTTTCCACGACCTACCTTTTAGCTGCTGGGTGAATGCATAATCAGCACTCACATCTGTAGTCATGACACTAGCTTCAGATCAGCCATCAGATGGATTTATGCCAAAAAAAATCCTACACTCATTTGTTTCAGAAGCTGCCTAAACAGGTGCAATCCTTTAAGCAAATTTCCCATCACAATGAGAGTCTCAGAAACTGGAAGAACAATTTATACAGAGCTAGCTACAGATTAATTTTCTAAAAGGCTGACATGCTTGAATTACTGCAGTCTCACATTTGTTTAGACACGAGAACAAATCTGCAAAAGTTACTTCATTTACATTGATTAGTTCACTTAAGAGATGGTTAAAAGTTTAAGCATTGCATCATTGTCCGAAAAGCCTACAGGTCAGCAATTTGGCTTGGTAAAACATCTTGTTATGACAAGGTTATGCACAGAGTTTTTCATGATCAGAGTCTTGAGATTTCTTCCAACAATGTAATGTAAGACTATGCCACAAGGTAGAAAGTTGGAAGAGTTTTTTTAAGTAGTATTAATAAAAATAGCCTCTCCTTCAGAAAAGGTGTTAGCTATGTCAGCTTGATAAATTTTGATCCCTTTTATTAAATTCAAAGTGGGCCATATTTTTCCATTGAGTATAGGAACTTAGACAAAATGCTTCTACAGATACATTTAGTAAGCAGAAGAATACTGTCCAAAGTGTACTGCATAGGTATGCGTACCAATTGCTATCCACTGGAGACATCCTACAGTAACTAGAGTTCAAACAATCATAAACCTACTGAGCACAGGCTTCTTAAAGTTTTAATCAACCTCAAACAATCCTTGATTCCTAAAAAAACCAATTCTGTATGACTGGGCATGTTTTGGATAGGATGCAGCTACTTTTTTTTCCCACCAATTAGCAATACAGCACAGTAATTTTAAGTTGCCATGACTTGCTTTTGATATGCTAAATTTCATATTATCTCCAAGAAAAGCATATACGTATTTTTATACAGCCTGGAGTGAGATCAGTGTAAAACCAGGAATTTATAATCATCAGCAGAAGTGCCAGCTGCTCATAATGTTCACAAAACACAAGTGCCCGAAATTTGGCTATGCAACAGTTGGTGCCAATCTGCTGATAAAGGAAATGCTGCTGAGGCACAGTCTTCTTACAAAAACAGGACATGAGGGCTTCATTATTAAGTGTTCAACAACAATCCTCAGCTCGGTGAAGAGAGTCCTGAAAAAATCAGATGTAAAGAGAGTTTTAAAATCCTACAGCATTTATCAGAAGTGAGTATCATCTAAATCTATCTTTTCACTTCTTTTCTCAACACCCCACACGCACTCTAGTTAGCAAGTTCTTTAGATCAACTCAGTGTTTCAGTATCTTGTAAGAGCTTCAGAATTCTTGTCCTTTAAACATTAACATTTTAATTAACTTTAGTTCAGCAGCTTCCAGCTGAGGACAGATATAAAGACAGCAGAAAAATTAACCTTACAAGGTTACAAAAAAAAAAAACCCACCAAAAAAAAAAAAAGAAAGAACAATGCTTTATCAGAAATAGTGTCAGGAGTTGGGAGGTAACTGTATTTGTGCTGCTTCTTGCCAGAATGCAAGAACCCTGCACTCTAGAAGCAACTATTAGAAGACAGACATGAGAAATAAAACCCACAACACCAGTTTCCCTTGAAACTACATAAATACCAGCAGAACATGTTGGATAAACTAGTTCTATGGGAAGTTAGATTTAGTGTTGCACAACTTAAATTATTTATAGGTAGCAAAGTGCCTTCAGAGTTGGGTTCTCTTACTAAAAAAAACACAAAAAAACCACACACACCTACCAAGATGGAACAATTCATTTCTTACAGAATAGTAGGGAATAGGAGGTAATTAAGTTTTCAGTTCTCAGACTTGTCTTTGCATACCATGGCAGCCAAAGCCACTTCCTTGGTACTTTAGCAAACCATTTTCTAATCAAGTAGTGATCAGACTGGCAAGTATATTCACAAAATCTTACACTATGCCATGCTTGTCATAAGAAATGTTTTGAGAAAGCACTGACCTGAGCAAATCCTCATAGAAATATTTATGGTTTCAAAGTTTAAAGCAATAGTATTGGCTTGACCAACTTTCAAACAAAATCAATAAGGCTCTGTTTCAATTATAATTAACCTGACTTATAAATTTAACTAAATGAGGTAATGAATGTGTTTAAAATCATCCACAGATTTTTTTTTTCCTGTTAAAATCACACAAGTTAAGTGTCTGTTCATGTATAGTCTTAGCCTCAGATAGGCCTAGAATCTAAAATAAGGGTATCTTTCTGGTAAATGGCTGCAGAACAATTAAAAGACTTTCTTCTCCCAAAGTGTAGTTTTAATTACATAAGCATGTTCTGAAAGCTCCCATTCAAGGACAGTGGTACATTTCAGAAAAGCTCAGTCACATGAAATAAATGTAGCCTTGAACCAGCTGTTCTTTTTTTTAGCATCCAGGTGTATTCCACATTCTACAATAATAAATCTGCAAATGGCAATTATGAGTTGTACATTAATTTTACCATGAAAAATTTCTGAATGCCTAAACACTATGCAGCTAAACATTAACTTTCAACATCAATGTAGTGCTTACCGACAGTATGGATTTCTCCGAGAGGAGTAGCGTAATGTAAGAAATCTATAGTAAATGAACGGCTGGAGCAGACTCCCTTGCCCGCTGAAAGAGAATAGAGAAGCAGAGCTTAAGACTGACAAAAAAAACAAAACAAAACCAGGACTTTTCCTAACAAAAGCAAGCAAACGACTTCTGCTCAAAAAAAGCTAGATTAGGGTCACATTGGTTCAACTAATCTAGATCTGACACAAAAGAGTACATAGCCATACTTACAAAGGCAGAAACTTACACTATAGAATAAAACTGCTCAATGAAGCAGTTAAAGTGCTGTTCTTGTATTGATTTTATATTTATGAAGTTGGGGTTTTTTGTTGTTTTTTTGTTTGGGTTTTTTTTTTTTTTTTTACATGCCTTATATCTGGTGGTGGGCAAAGAATCACAGAAGTGATGGCAGACAACTGTCCACTATTAAGAAAGAACTTGCTGGTCAAGCACAGAAATTAGCTGACAAGTAGTCCAGTTACAGCGAGCTTTTTCAGCTCTAACTGTAGCACTATGAATATCTGGACCATATTTCTAGTACCTTTTGCAAAACGAGACTAATATAGATGTATTGAGATATTAATGCCAAGCTGATACCTGACTATTTCAGTTACACCAAAATTAGGTTTTGATAGCTTACAAAGCTGCTGTTTCACATGACAGCGCGGTAAAATAGTGAAAGGGTAGCACACAAACCATACATAGCAAAGCACACAAATACCATGAGTTTAATTTTAATGACTGAAGCTTCTTTATATAGCACAATATTAAAAAGCTCTGTTTGAAGTTGAACATGACAGTTCCAGTAACTAGAGCTCCTTCAAGTATGACCAATATCTTTACCCAGAAGAAAAAATGTAATTGAAAAGGGAAGTGAGGTACAGGAAGGGGAAAAGAAAAAGTCTTGCACCTGTACAATATTTACAAACAATTCAACATGCTAAAACAGTTTAAAGAACAAATTCTCACAACAGCGGCATTTAACCATTATATGATTTTTTTTTATATTTTTATCTTTCACAAGCTTCAGTATCTACTAGTTGACATATCAAGTAGCAACACTTCACATACTAAGTTTTCGGGGGGAGGGGGGGGGAGAAGACAGGGACGGACAGGGACAGGACTTCTCCTAAGGAGAAGTTTAAAGCACTTTAAAGTTTCAGATACTGGATACAAAGTATATCTGTCAATTGGTAAGTGGCCTCAAATGAAATGGATGAAATGGAACTTCAGGGCTGCTTCAGGGCTGAAGCATTGAAGTGTTTAGCTGACATATCAAAAGATAAAGACAAATTACGCATTCTATCAACTTCCAAGAAGATAAAGCCTCCCTTTTGCTGCCTGTGAGACCACTCAAGACAAGTGCACTCACTGTGCTATGACTTGTATAGAACAAAGGGCACTATTCCCCCTCCAAATATTAAAAGGCAATGACCCAGACTTCAGTGACTGGCAGGTCGTTATGCCTATATGACTTCAGTGGGATTCCAACATGTATATGCTCAATATCCCTAAAATGAACTCAACAGCCTGCACAGCAGGCAAAACCAAATGGAATCAAAAAAAGAGACAAGGGTCACCGGTCAGCAGTAACACAGGAGAGGACATAACCTACTCCTGCTTGCACGCTTTTAGCACAATGAAATTTCATGCCGCTTAAATTTCTGGAATCTAATAATCAAAAATAAGGGTTCACTTTCAGTGAAGCTGAAGATCTTAATATTCTATTACACTGACCAAAATTAAACTTACTGAACAGTGTAGGAGAATGCAAGTTACAGGCCTGAAAAACTTCGATTTGAGCCAACAATGTCACCTCTGCTATGAAAGGGAAGGCGTTTTTGGTGCTTAGTTATATCAGAGTGAATGCTTTTTGATGTCACGATGCACCAACTTGAGAAGTCTAGGAATCACATAAATTTAACTCTAAGTTAAAGCCTTGGTCGGCCAGAACCATATATCTGTGACCCTCAGAAAATTCAACTGCAAAAAGTAATCTTGTGTAGAGTTTCTAATTCTGAAAATATTTATCGTAATTCTTACCTGAAGAGCATAAAAACTGTAGCTGGCATCAGGAAAATTTCATTACAAGCAATGAATTTTAGAATATTCTGTTGATTAGCGTTCAGTTTCTCTAAAAGATTTCTCAGAAAGGGCAGGCTATTTGAACTTCGTGCCTTTAAAGAAGAAAGAAAGAAAGATTGATGTAACTTACATGCTTTCTGGCAATCTTCTCTAGCATAAAGAGATCAAAATACTAACAATTATCACTTACAACTCATTTCAGCATTTTAACTCTAGATCCTTTAAAGGTATTGAAATTAGTATCCCAAAGAAAACTACTGGAAGCTTGGAACTCCATAACTACATAGAGGTCAATTAAAAACACAAGGTGTTGCAATTCCCTCACCCACCCATTTTAGGTTCAACTGCATAGAGATGGCCACAAGCCTTATTCTGCCCACTAGGAGGAAGCACCTACAGTAGCAAGATAGCCCAGTTAGGAACACCAAAGGTTGGAGTTACATTAAGCTGCACAAGGCAGTTCATTGAGCAGCAGGTCCAACTGGCAAGTATTCTGCTTGCTAGCCTCACCCTGCAGTTTATTATTCTACTGAAGTAGAACATTAAATTTCACGTACTATGGTTTAGCTTGAAAAGATATGTCTTAAATTTCAACTTAACTGTTACATAGCTTTTGCTTCCTTCAAAGAAAGGCATGTGAAGAAAAATAATTAGTGTCAACTCCAACATATCATTGAGTTATAACAGAAGCAGAGGGAAATCCAACCCCCAAAAAGACTTCTCAGATTCTCTGCGCTGAGATTCCATTCCACAATTTCACTCTAACTCCTCTAGTGTAGCTAAAGAAAACCATAGCTGCAACTCCAATTTGTTTATACCCCCCTCAAGAATATAAACAGTTTTAATGGTATCATACATCATATCATACTTACATCAAGAACCTTCTTTGTATATGTAGCAGCATGAAGCAAAGAGAACAGCAGAACTGGAAAAATACTCACTGAAGCAAGCGATAAGGAAAATTATAGGCTGCACAAGTGCTTCATTTCTCCATGATGTTATACTAACACGCAAGTCATAGTTTGATGTCTCTCTGCAAGAGGCTGGCTGGAACGACCTATACTGGATTAAGGCGTGTAGATGTCTAACATCTATATTTATAGCTCTTCCTTTGCTTCTTACACCTCTTCACTATGCATTTTTATTAACTTCAAAATGTGCGTGCATGCAGGTATGCAGAACTATAACCATTACAAACCAGTGCATTTCTACTGAAATGCATTCTTTTTGTATGGAAGACACACATGAGGTTACTACTTAAAATTTGTCAAATACATGTAGTCATTATGTTGTTAATTAAAAGATGTTACAAAATGCATTTCTTTACCAGAGAACATGCAATTGCCAGCCATTCAGATTTTAGAGAGCAAGAATGCAGACATTCCTCAGCCAGAGACATTTTAAGAGTAAGATATTAAGCATACATACGAAGTGGCACAAAGAAAAGTCAGTTCTTATAGGTCACCTTTGACAAGTCACAGGAGTGAGCCTTTCTTGCATGCTTTCTCTGTTTAAAAAATTATTTGAAAAAGCTACTACTAAGTAATTGTCTCTCTATGTGATATATGTCCTACTTACAGTGAGGAGTCATATATAAATCCTGTATTAGTAATAAATGAAAGTTACCAACTTCTCAAAGTATCACTTGAGGCTGGTCATAAAATCCACCGAACTCAGGAAAAAGTGAAGTCTCAGGAAAAGAAAATCTAAGTAGCCAGAGACTGCAGTGCACTAGTTAGAGGTGATTAATCTGAATATGGATCGATCAACATAAGCTTCTCTTATTTTACATAAAGTGTGTTCTATGAATAGCAAACATATTCTAGTCTAAACTAGTTTTTCAAATCATGGCACAGGTGATGAAAAGAATCAAGTTTTTAAAGATATTTAAAAACATTACCAGGATGACACAAGTAAAGGATACTTGTAACAGGGTAGGAATTCACAAAGATAAGAGAGTACAACAGGTAGTGGCAGCTGTCCTCCAGCAAAGCCTGGGCCAGAAAGGCCCTGCTAAGCTGAAAGTGCGGTAGCCTTTGGTGTAGCCGGAGGGCACTAGTAAGAGCATTTGCCAGCAAGGCACGCTGGTAAAAGCTTGCTGCTTCATGCAACCTGCAAATCATCAGAGGAGACGTTACCATATGAACCAAGCCCCTGCTCAGAAATTTTCCACCCTTGAGAATTGCATCACAATCTCACAGTACCCGAAGTATTTCTATTATTGTACATAAGCACTATTACCAAAATACAACTAAAAAACTAGTAACACTGACTTACTGCTGTGCCAAAGGTAAAACAACTCAATATATTACTCTGTAACTACACATCAAAACATGCATTTGCCACTACAGTTGCTTGACATTTTCCAAACACACCTAAAAGTGTTTTAAACCAAGCTAAAAATCTGTAAACTGTTCTGACAAAAAGCATCCAAGTAAGCTGAATAATAGAAATTTACCCTTACATGGAAAACAATTCTGTGAAAAGGGAGTGTAGCTGCTCTGTAAATTTTAATGCTAATGTACAATATTATAATACATACCCTAGGAGAGGCAGGACAAATAAAGCTGAGCAGTAAACTGTGAACAAGCGAGAAATCCACATTGCTGTATCCAACTTGTTAGCCATCAGAAATTGCTACATTAGAAAAGAAGAAAAAAAACCAACCCCCACGGAAGTTGGTATCTTAATATTTGCATACAGTGAACTTTTTTCCCATCTATATTAAACTGCAATTCTCTCCAAGTTTGAATAGAAGCAAATTACAGCTTGAAGCAAAGAGCATCTTTTTGTTCTGTACGAAACTTGACTCACATGATGTTACTAACCAGATCAAAAATAGCTCAGAATCAAAAGGCTCCTCTGTATATTGCAACAAAATATCGTGGTAAAATCTTGCATAGAGGTAGTTTTTCTAATCAAACCAACCTCACAAAACAGCCATTTTCAAAAGTGTATCATGCAAGGTCTTTAGACCTGACTTCTGCATCTATTGCTTCAAGGTTCCTTTTAGAATACACTTCACACACCTGGGGCTACATCTCCATACTTCTGGGGGCTGGGGGGGGG